TTGGGGTTTAGGTTTTAGGGCTTTTGGGGCTCAGGGTCTCACTGAATGGCTTTGGGCTTGAGGGACATCAGGGTTTGGGGTGGAGGCTTGTTTGGGGTCGCGCGGCTTCAGCTTCAGGGTTTAGTTTCGTAGTTTGTTTAGGGGTTTAGGGTTTAGGGTTTAGGGTTTAGGGTTTAGGGTTTAGGGTTTAGGGTTTAGGGTTTAGGGTTTAGGGTTTAGGGTTTAGGGGCTGAGAGTTTATACCATCCAAGGCTATGCATGACCATTTCCTTGGCTATCGGCTGCCAAGAGATGGTCAGGAAGAACGTCCAGGTGCCCTTGCAGTATAGCATATGGTGCCCCTAAGCCCTAACGGTTTAGGGTTTAGGGTCTAGGGTTTAGGGTTTATGGCTAAGCATCTCTAAATCCTGAGCTCTGCAAGCTGCAGCACGGCAGCGTTTGCAGCCGGGAAGCCAGCATCGGCAACAAGAGCACCTCCCCATCCTTGTTCTGAACCCACAACTCCGCAAAATCTCAGTCATCTCAATAGAATGTTTTGAAATATCCAAAGCAGTTGAAACCCTCACACAATTAGTTGAGCTATATAAGGCCTAAGCCGTCATCCCAACCCCACGCCCTGAACCCTAAAAAAAGACCCCGAACTCTGGACCCTAAGCCCCAACTGCTAAAACCCTACATCCTGAACCTCAAGCCCTGAACTCTTAAGCCCTAAACCTTAAACCCTCAACCCATCCTTAAACCCAAAGCCTTACACTCATAAAGCCCTAAGCCCTCAACCCTCAACCCTAAACCCGAAGCCCTAAACTCTTAAGCCCCTAAAACGACCCTGGAGGTGCGGAAGATAGCGGCCGTGGAGACCCTGGGATCCGCCTCGGTGATCTGCAGCGACGCCAATCCTAAAGTTAAGCCCCTGAACCCCCTAGTTTAGGGTTTAGGGATTAGGGTTTAGGTTTAGGGTTTAGGGTTTATGGTAATAGAGGAGCCCTAATAATTAGAATAGGGTTTGGGGGTATATTGTGTACTATACACGTAATTATAATGAGCCCTCCTTTAAGGGATTTTCGGGTTCCCTCTGACCCAGCACGAGGCCAAGGGTTTAGGGTGGGGGACTTTGCGGCGTGAGGAGGTTTTCCATGTTGACTGGAAGGGTTGAAAGGCCCTAAACCCTAAACCCTAAACCCTAAGCCCTAAACCCCTAAACCCTAAACCCTAAACCCTAAACCCTAAACCCTAAACCCTGGCCCTAGGCAGGGATCAGGATTCAGGGTTCAGGGTTTAGAGT